GCGTCGAGCGCGAGCGTAGTGGTGGGTGGTGGGGGGAGGGTGGGGGGATGGGGCGGGTGGAGGGAGCTCTAATAGCAAAAGCAGTTGCTGCGAGATGGCGCGTGCAAGTGTCATCAATAATCAAAGATGGCATCGCTCTTCGTGCGTGATAACCTCACTCCATTGAGTTGCTGAAATCCTACTGGCTAAAATCCAAGTATATTCAGGCAGGCGAGAATTTCGCTCAGATGTGAGTTAACACATCTGCATTGCAGGTTGCCAGGCAATAATTATGATTAGAATAGTGCCAGTTCACCTCCATGCATGCGTAATGGGCTGCCCCTGTGTTTTTGCCTACCCACGCGAGCATTCAGGGTGTTATTACAGTGTGCTAATACAAGGTGCTACTCAGGGTGCTAATACAGACTGGTTTAGAAAATAATATGATTTAAGGAGCGTAAACCTTGTTCAACAAACATTTGCCTTTGCAATTGAACTGTGCAACTGTAGCCTCACATCCACAATAGCAAAAGCAGTTCAGTTTTTTTGTTAACAGTTAACAAATCCATGTTTAACCCTCCTCTTGAGGGTCATAAGGTTATCAGACACTTACTCTTCGCACGTCAGCAAAAAGTACATTTCATGGTCCTTTCAATAAAGTGATAGAAATGGTAGGTCAGCGCTGAAACAAAAAAGTTTTGCACTCGGTCCGTTAGTGCATGTCCTCAGAAAATGTCTGATATCTGACCTTTCCCCCACTGCCCTTTGACCTGTGACTTCCAATTTCGCACTGGTGATGGGTTTCCCCCCCTTACACTATACATCGAATATTAAGAGCGTAGGTCAAGCCGTTGAGATTTGTGCCGCAATTCGGTATTCCTCCTATACCTTAAGTTAAGGGGAAAATATTCCCCCTCCACTGACACATCTCGACCTTTGACCCTTGACCCCCCAAATTCGACATCCCGAGTCCTTTTCGCGACCCCCCCCCCAGTTCTGAATATCAAAACCGTACGTCGAGCGGTTAAGATTTGTGCCCAACTATTGATGGACGCACGGAGGCACAGACGGACGTACGGACGGACGGACGCACGGACAATCATGCAATTCTACAAGCTGCATCAGACTTCGTCAGCTGAGCTAAACATTTACAACTTATTTGTATTGCTACTTTCACAACATTTCTTCATAAAATCTAAACGAAAGTTACGAATGTAGACCCACAGGATGTTTACAGTATTTAGACATCCAGTACACAGCCGAGCAAACGTTGTGCTGCATTAACAGTTCTTTTCTGTGATAACACATGTTATACTTTATTGTTCGATGTTTACTCAGTACGAAATTGTGAAATTTGTTTAAATCATGTTATCTACATGTTATCAGGAGACAAATATATAGTTTTCGCTACAGGAACTATTTTTGCGCTAGCGTAGGCCGGCCTACTGTTGGCTCTTCACTCCAAAACAACTTATGTGTATCTATACGCCGAAACAACGTCCTACGCTGTTTTGAGAATCCCAATGTTTGCAGCACATTCCTGGCTCAATGAGAACATTGCGTGATGTTTGCATACTGCAAGTATGCTCACAGTAGGTGTATGTAGGCTTTTTGTTGCGAGGTTTATGCACTTTAAAACTATGTGCATGGTTTAATGAGCATAAACTCACCGCTGCCTCCATGGTCTCCATGTAAGTCTATAGCAGCGCACAAGAAATAAGCGTGTATGAGCAAAAGTGACAACAACAGGCAGGGTACAGGGGTATAAGGTGAGGTGTTAGCACTTATAGGCACACCCACCTCCCCTCACTTCTAGGTGCATTTGTTATTATAATATTAATATAAACTATAAGATAACAGCACATGTCATATAACGAATGATGAAGGTAGATACTTTACGCAGGTAATGCAATTCATACGGCAAACTTTCACGTGGGAATGTGAGAAAGAGTTAATCTCGCATGCTGCTGTAGCCAAGTGTTGCCACCTAGTGGCAGACTGTCCCTTAGCAAATCATCATAGCCTCACGACTACATAGACATAGCATTATGCAAAGCATTGCAAACAAAATAAATGCTTTGACATGTAAGAAATATGTGAATGAATAGAGGTGCGTGGCTCAAAGCATATAGACAATTCCATCTGGCTATGCTGATGAACGCACACAAAGAAAGATCAACCATTGACATGTCATTTAGCAAATCACCTAGTGTAAGCATGCCCACATGAGGCCAAATCAACGTCGTTGCAATACACTTGCTATCAGAATGGAATACATTTGATGTAAATATACTTACGCGATGGAAATGTAATGAATTTAATTGCGGCACTTCACTTGTATAATACAAGTGTACTACACTTGTGTAAAAAAAGTGTAATGCGCTTGCCACTTGCAGAGTGTACTTTTGTAATAAACTTGCAACACTATGCAATGTTAATATGCAAATAAATGTTTGTGCAATGGTGCGTAAACACTCACCAGGGCATCTTCTGCATCCTCATCGTCCGAATACTCAAACACCTGTCATTCCACAAAAACAAGATGAGAATCACTAGAAATACAGGACAGCATAACTCTATATGATCTCTTTAGAATAGACAAGCACACTAGAGGCAATGCTGGCTGTCACAAGGTTTGAATCGATTTCACATATAACACAGGAAAATCAATAAACTGTGCTGCCTGTAGTATAATTCCTGCCCAGTTATGAAACATGAATAAATTCACAGCGCCAGCACTTGGCCCGTACTCACATACAGTTAGAAATGATATATTACAACATCTAGCCTATAGTATTGATCTAAATCTACATAATTTTACTTATGCACTCTACTACTGAGCCTTTCTTCTAAAACATTTCATGTTCACTTAAACAATCATTAATTGTTGCTAGATAGGTTGATATCAGACAGATGGCTGGAATCTACAGATCATAATCAGGGGTAGAAATAAGGAGAAAAAAAGAGATGGTCCACAAGACCATCTAGTTTGAAATTTAGATGGTCCTCCTAAATTTTAGATGGTCCTCCTAAATTTTAGATGGTCCTCCTAAATTTCAAATTGTTCTCATTGTTACATCATGCCAAATATTTGCTATGGTCAACACTGGATTAGCAATAATCGAAACGTGAAAACTTCAAAGAAAATTACCGTAAAATGAGACCAAAATATTCAATGGTCCGTCGGACCATTGACTTTGAAAATCTGATGGTCTTCCTGATTATTTGATGGCCCTGGACCATCGCTTATTTCGACCCCTGATGATTATAATTGGCTGTATTTATTAAATAATTAAATATATTTAATATTAGTCTTTAACAATTGATAGGGACACAGATTATTTTGCCAGATGGCAGGAAATGGCCCTACAACAGACAGAAAACATGATGTCATGACAGACTGTTGATGCTTTTACACGGTTGTCGAATGTCATTGCTTGCCGAAATAACTGCTCTGCCAAAAGACAACGACCACCTGACTCAGTCCCTACCAGCACGCAATAGTCCTTGCATGGAGGATCAACGCTAATGCTTGCAAGGTCGTGGAGGATGGCGCCACCTAGTGAGCGCACAAACCCTGTTTGCAGCTCCTCATGACACATCATCAGGCGATCGCGCGTAAGCACGGCAGCACAGGGTACAACCGTCTGCAGCTGCTCATCTTTCACCTAATAATGGATATCAGAGAAAAAAAATTATAATTAGCAAAACCAGTATGCTTCCTACGTACCCAGGGGGCAAGACAGGTTTACCAGACATGGGGTGTTGTAAAAGGTTGTTTAGTATCAACATGTTCAGGGGACCTCCCTGATCAACTTCCAGGTGGACTACCCTGAAAATATGCTGCAGAAAAAATATGGCGGCCATTTTTTTCAAAATGGCTACTATGTCTAACTAATGTTGACCAATGGGGTTAGCCGCTAGCTTTTCCGCCAGGTGGCGCAGCGGGAGTTAGAGGTGTTACAACGATTGCGCAACGAACGAGTCAGTTGTAAAGATACAGGAATCATAGCGATATAACCAAGTTAAAATGCCTTCGTACTGTTGTGTAGTCGGCTAAAGCTGGTCATAAGTTTCCAGCTAACCCGAATCTGAA